AAAAAAAAAAAAAAAAATGGTTTAAAGGAGTACAAAAATAATGATCTCTTTAAAATCCAAAACACAAAGCATTTTTTGAGACAAGAGTCTCACTATGTCACACTCAGTAGAATGCTATGGCATCACAGCTCACAGCAACCTCAAATTTTTGGACTTAAGCGATTCTCTTGCCTCAGTCTCCCAAGTAGTTGGGACTATAGGTGCCCACCATAAGGCTGGGTTTGAACCCACCAGCCCCGGTGCATGTGGCCGGCACCCTAACCACTGAGCTACAGGAGCTGAGCCCCACAAAGGATTTTTATTTGATCTAATAAATGAGCAAAGGTTAACCTCTGATTTATATTACTCTACATCAAATGATACTATAAAACTCTTTGTAAAAAGTTTCTAATCAGCAGATAAACAAATTGGTTCAAATATTACTTAACATAACTAAATTCAAAGGAAATTAACCCTTTGGAGTTCCTTACAATGGGTGTGACTTATTTCTCAAAAGCTAACTTATCAAAATAGTTGAAACCTCATACCCAACAAACTGGGAGTGAGGTTGGGTGGGGGAACAGGAGACAACACTTACCTGTTGGAAATTTCAAAATTAAATGCATTTGAAAACTTACTTTCATATTTATCCTTTCCCATGTAAACAGTGTAAGCAGATGAATTAACTACAACAAAACAAAAATAAGAAACAATTAGATAACTCTGTCACTAATAAAACTGTTTCATGGGAAACACTAGTGACAATGTTTGGATTAAGGGTTGGCAAACCATAGCCCATGGGCTGAATCACCACCTGTTTTCAGACAGCCCTTAAGCCAAGAATAGTTTTTTACATTTTTAAAGGACGGAAAAAAAGTAAAATAAAGAATAATATACTTTGGAGAGCAAGATACGATCGTAAGAGGGACTTAAAAAAAAAGCCAAACAAAGAATAATATACTTTTGGTATATTACTTTTAATAATTACTTTTGGTATATTATAATTACTTTTGGTATACTACAGTTCAATGGCAATCTCTAGTTCAATCCTATACTTCTGCATTCTTCAGGCATTAAGAAGGAAAAAACCTCGGGCTCGGCGCCTATAGCTCAACTGGCTAAGGCGCCAGCCACGTACACCTAAGGTGGCGGGTTTGAATCCCCAGCCCAGACCCGCCAAAACAACAATGACGGCTGCAACCAAAAAATAGCCGGGCGTTGTGGCGGGCGCCTGTGGTCCCAGCTACTTGGGAGGCGGAGGCAGGAGACTCGCTTGAGCCCAGGAGTTGGAGGTTGCTGTGAGCTGTAATGCCATAGCACTCTACCCAGGGGGACAGCTTGAGGCTCTGTCTCAAAAAAAAAAAAAAAAAAAAAAACCTCCTGTACCCCAACCATTTAAAAATAGCTTCCTATACTTACCCAGGTTTTATTTCGCCATTGTTAGTTAGTTATTTCACCATTGTTAGTTATATTGTTAGTTAGGTGCTTGCAGAACCTAAGGGGCTCCCTATCCTGTCCAGAGGAACTGTGGCTTTCAAACTTTTTTTTGAGACAGAATCTCACTCTGTTGCCCTGGGTAGAGTGCCGTGGCATCATAGCTCACAGCAACCTCAAACTCTTGGGCTCAAGCGATCCTCTTGTTTCAGCCTCCCAAGGAGTTGGGAACTACAGGTGCCACTGTAATGTCCAGCTAGTTTTAGAGATGGGGTCTTGCTCTGGCTCAGGCCCATCTTGAGTTTTTGAGCTTAAGCAATCCACACCTTGGCCTCCCAGATTGTTAAGATTACAAGCGTGAGCCACTGCGCCTAGCTGCTATCACCCTTATCAATCGGTGACTCTGCACCTGCTCATACATAGGTATCCTCTAATTCTGCCCCAGCTCCACCTCAGATCAACTAAATCCAAATCCCTGGTGGGGTAAAATGATTTTTTTTTTTTTGAGACAGAGTCTCCAGCTGTTGCCCGGGGTAGAGTGCAGTGGCATCACAGCCCACAGCAACCTCAAACTCTTGGGCGTAAGTGATTCTCTTGCCTCAGCCTCCCTAGTAGCTGGGACTACAGGTGCCCACCACAATATCCAACTATTTAGTTGTTGTTGTAGTTGTCATTGTTGTTTGTCAGGCCTGGGCTGGAATCAAACCAACCAGCTCCAGTGCATGTGGTGGGCACCCTGGCCACTGAGCTACAGGCGCAGAGCCATTCCAAATGATTTTAATGTGAAGTCAGGGTTAGGAACAACTATCCTTAATCAAATGGAAATCTTCTAGGTGTGGTTTATCTCAGGAACAAGATGATGTGCTTTACTGAGGCAATGTGCTTTAGCTGGGTATCAGGGATCTGGAATTAAAAAGTTAAGTTTCCTGCTGAAATTATAACTGAATACTGGGTTTCCAACCCAGTCGATAAAACTTGTTAGACTCCAATTGGATCTAAATTCCTGAATTAATAGTCACTGGTCCCTCAGGCTATAAAGCCTGCTATAGATAATAAGTACTTAAACATTAAAAAAAAAACTGAAGCAGAAATACTAACAGGTGCAGGGTTGGGCTAGACAATGTTGGCTATTGCGCCAGAGCACAGAACACACACAAAATAAGCAGACCTCTGAAGGCCAGCTCTCTCCTAAATAAATCCTTGTTTGAGAGATTCCATGTACTTTCAATAAAGTGCTGCTTCTTAAATGATCAATCCTAGTTGCCTTTCTTGGGGGGGTTAGAAAACTTCCAATTCCTTCTGCTGAGAACTTTATGATGACACAGACCACAATTACTTGTATGTAGTTGAGAGAAGTGACTTGCAAGTAGGGGATGTTAGCATTGATTAGTTTACAGACATGCTCATCTACAACTGAGCATTGAATTAGCTTGATCAGGCCTCAGTAGAGCATGTAACAAATGCCAAACGAGCAGGAATCAAACTAACATGTTTTAAACTCTCTCTGCATGGCATACCAGTATTTCAAGGGGACACCTTATTAATCTTTTCAAGTTACCACTAGAAGTATATCCTACCAAAATATTCAACTAAGCAAAGAACTTTTTACAGCTTAAACACCCTATGTACCCACAACAATGAATAGGTGAAGAAATTAAGCAACAGAATAGTATTTTTGTGCATCTATATACAGGTACAATAAAAATTAAATTAATATATAATGGTGCACGTTTACATATACATTTTTTTAAAATGCACACATTTTCATCTGTATGGGAGGATATCAAGTAGTTACTTTTTGGGTAGCCTGCTACAAAACACAGATGGTTTGAGCAATCAGAACAAAAGTCATTTTGTTCTCAAAGATGAGGTGATTAACAAAATGACCACAGCAAACCTAAGCTGAGGGGTTTAGGTTTTATTTCTAGAAAATACTTCAACTAACAACGTTAGGAAAGACAAACAATGAGCAACTGCTCCAGATTAGAGGAAGCTGAGAGTAATGACAACCAAGTGCAACAATGATTTGTAGATTTCTTTGTTATAAGTGTTAACTGCAACTTATGAACAAAATAGTTCAGGAAGAAAAGTATGTGAGAGTATAAGAAAAAGAGGTCTCGGCTCGGCGCCTGTAGCTCAACCGGCTAAGCTACAGCCTGGACCCGCCTGGACCCGCCAAACAACAATGATGGCTGCAACCAAAAAATAGCCAGGCGTTGTGGCGGGCACCTGTAGTCTCAGCTACTTAGGAGGCAGAGGCAGGAGACTCGCTTGAGCCCAGGAGTTGGAGGTTGCTGTGAGCTGTGATGCCACGGCACTCTA